ACGTCATGCCGAACCTCATAAACTTGTGGTCCAACTTGCCGCAACACCCGATACGGTCCTTTCCACTGCGCAAGGAGCCCCTTAGATAAACCACGCACCGTAAGATGGGGAAAACGGACTAACACCAAATCATCCACTTTGTGCTCCGCTGGTGGACGATGATGGGAATTGTAGCGCCGTTGTTGTCCCACTTGTATGCGGCCTAAGTGTTCAGTAGACTCTGCTCGGACAAGTGGAAGAATGCTTGTCAAATATTGATCCCATGACCTAGCATCAGGAGCTCGTGGCAATCGCGAAGGTAAACCTAGCTCTGTTGGTAATATTGGATCATGACCATATAGAAGTTTATATGGTGAAGCACCAACAGAACTCTGCACCCCTGTGACATAAGCATACCGAAGAGACGGCAAATAACCATCCCAATCCGAATGTTGAAAGTTCACATACTTCGCAATCATCCCTTTGAATGTCCGAACAAGCCGTTCCACCAGACCGTCTGATTGTGGATGATAAGCACTCGTAAAAGTGTGGCGTATCCCCAACCGAGATGTCAAAACATGAAATACCTCAGCCATAAATGTAGGACCATTATCCGAAAGAATCCGTTCTGGACAAGAATGCTGGAACACCACTCGATTGAGGAGGAAGTATCCAACAGCAGTTGCAGAGGCACTAGCAAGAGCACCAACTTCCACCCAACGAGTCAAGTAGTCAGAAGCAATAATAACATACTCATTGCCAGCAGTCGATCGCGGAAAAGGTCCCATAAGATCAAACGCCACCAACTCAAACGGACGAGAAACTGCAATTGACTCCAACCGTCCTTCCGCAGCACAAGGGGGAGTATTACGAGCTTGGCACCAAACGCAGCTACGCACATACCGGATAATATCACGTCGCATCTCTGGCCAATAGAAAGATCTGCGCAACTTCTCGGTGACACGACGGTGTCCCATATGCCCACCTAGAATAGGAGAATCATGGTAGGCATGGAGAAACCGCGGAATAAACACCGAAGGCACCACCAGCCGTAAATGAGCATCAGGATCCGTCCCCACAAAATAAAGAAGGCCATCTTCAAGGCGATATTGAGAATGTAAATGCCGAAAAGGCAAGTCATCAGCAAGTGATGCAGGATTCTCAAACCCATCTCGAAGCCTTCGAATCCACGGCTCAATCTTTTGAGCCTCGCGAACCTCATCCAGAGAAGGTAGATCTTGCTCTACGCCCTGTGGACACTGAACGTCAAGGACAGCAACCGCCGACGGCACAGAATCCTCATCTAGAAAATCCACAGATGCTAGAACAACAGGTTCATCAGAAACATGAGAAGTGAGTGGAGAAGGAAGAGGAGCTCGAGAAAGGGCATCAGCATCAGCCATAGAACTCCCTGGGCGATGAACAACATCGAAATCATATATCTGAAGCTTCAAAGCCCATCGAGCCGTACGACCAACCAGGTTCTTCCGCTTCAATAATGAAGTAACAGCAGCATGGTCACCTTCAAGTAACGTCCGAGAACCATGTAGATAGGCATGAAGTTTCTCGAAACCCCAGACTGCTGCTAAACACTCCTTCTCCGTCGTGGAGTAGTTCATCTCTGCTGGTTGTAATGTACGGCTTATGTATGCAATGGGATGGCGCTGACCAGGCACACTCGAGCTCTCTTGCATCAACACACCTCCAAGACCAATGTCAGAAGCATCCACGCGCAAAATAAAAGGTCGAGTGTAGTCAGGATATGCCAAAACCGGAGGAGTCGTCAATAGCTCTTTGAGATTCACGAATGCCCGCTCACAATCGGGAGACCAGATGAAAGATGACGTTGATGACTTCAGCAACGCTCGCAATGGTAAAGTGCGATCGGAAAGATGATCCACAAAACGACCGAGATACTGCACCTTACCCAAAAAGCGCTGCACATCATTCACACACTTCGGAGTAGGGAACTTTAGAACAGCCACAAGTTTGTCAGGATCAACTTGCAAACCCTCACGAGAAATACGGTACCCAAGATAAGTTGTGTCCTTGGACCCAAACACGCACTTCGACCGCTTCAGCTTTAAACCAACGTCGCGTAGCCGATCCAACACTTTACAAACATCACGAACATGCTCCTCCCACGTCCCCTCCGAGTGGATCAAGACATCATCAATGAAGTCAGCCGTCACCTCTGGCATATCGCAAAGAACCTCGTCCATCATTCGCTGAAAAGTTGCTGGAGCATTGTTCAAACCAAACGGCATCACCAAAAACTCGTACAAACCAAATGGTGTACGAAAAGCAGTCTTAGGAATATCGTCTTCAGCCATCGGTACTTGCCAATACCCAGAAGCAAGATCTAGCTTGGTGAACCAACGACTTCGCCCCAGACGATCCAAGAGATCAGCAGTGTGAGGAAGAGGGTACACGTCCGGGATCGTCACTTCATTTAACGGACGATAGTCGATGCAGAAACGAATACTCCCATCAGGCTTCGTCACAAGATGAGGTTCACATGCCCAAGGACTCCGCGACTTCCGAATAACACCCTTCTCCAACATCTCCTTAACGTTTGCACGTAAAATCTTGATCTCCTTGGGTGACCGACGACGAACAGGAACCTTGATTGGACGAGCATCCCCGGTTGGAATGGGATGACGTGTGGCAATCTTGGCCCCAGACGATAGGTCAAATTCAAAGAGATCAGAATACTCCTTCATGAGCCGATCAACAGCTGCAACACAAAGATCATCGGAGGGATCGGAAAAGGGAAGAGCAGAACAAGATGGAAACACAAGAGGAAATAATGGGGGAACAAAAGTAATGGAAGCAAAGGTAGAAGTAGAGGGACGAAGAGGTACAGAAGTGAGAGGAATGGATGAAACATAAGGAAGTATGAGACAAGGGGGAAAAGCCTCAAAGTCACACTTGGCATGATTGTGCTGCAACCAATCCATACCAAGAATGAGGTCAAAAGCTTGACTCGGCACCACCCGCAACGACTGCAACTCAAGCTCGAGATCGCCCACACGCACAACCAGGTCCGCCTCATCTCGTGCACATGCATGTGTACGGCCGTTGCCATAAAGAATGAAAACTGGATCTGCCGCACGACGCAAGTGTAGACGACAACGTGTGGCAACAGGTCGAGCAATAGAAGATAAACTCGAACCTGTATCAACCAACACGGAGAGAAGAATAGGAGACCTCTTGTTATAAAAACGAGCTTGGAAAGTAAACACTGGATGAACCGGTGCCGAGTGAACCCCTTGATGATACTCCCGAAAGAAAGATGGAAGGGTCACTAACTTATTCGTGCAAGGTCCCTCCATTACTCGCGCGACTCCTCGTTTCCCGAATGCACCTCGGTATCCAAACCTTCCACCGCAGCAGCACCAACGGGACGTTGCTGACGCCAAGGTCTCCACCCAGGAAATGGAGGTCGCCAATCCGGAAAGCGCCGACAACGCCGATAAGTATGACCAACTTCATCACACGCCCAGCAACGAATGTCACGGCCACGACCACGTCCTCGCCCTTGTCCTTGGACTCGAGTAGCAGCAGCATCAACCTCCATGGGAACAGGACCATCACTCATAGGAAGTGGAGCTGAAGGACGTGTAGCAAGAAGTGGAAGAGGCGACGTCGCATAACGTTGTGCCAAGCGAAGAGCATCGTCAAGAGTGGCAGGAGCAAGTGCATGCACAAGTCCGACAAGATCTTGACGAAGTGCTGGCCACAGCATTCCTAGCTTGATCCGCTCCGACATATTTGGCTCCGCACGAAGCAAAAGACTTCGGAAATGAACGCCAAATTGCATCACCGACTCAGATGGCCCTTGGTGAAGACGATGCAATTGTTGGAAGGCATCATCACAATCGTCGGCGTGTCCGAAGGCGCGTTTGAAGACGTCCGGAAGAACACTCCAATCGCCACGAGTAGCTGCGCTCAATCCATTGTACCACTGCAATGCCGTCCCTTGAAGACATGTGGGGAACTCACGCAAACGCCGAGCATCATCCCAAGAATGATATGTGGCAATCACCGTGAAGTGATCGAACCAATGGTACACATCATCCCCAGGATTCCCACGAAAGAACTCCGGCCGAACGCGAGGATTGGCACCAAAAGCAGGAGGAGTTGTACCATGTGCCGTGAACGCCGCCATCAACTGAGTTTGGTTGTTCAATTGCAGGCGCATAGCATCAAGCAATTGAACCAACTGCTGCTCTAGAGTCAAAGGAGGAGATTGCGGATCGGCCATGAAAATGAATGAGAAAGAAAGAGCAAAAGAAGAGAAATGACAAAAAGCTAGAAAGAAATGGTAGATCTAGACAATGCAAAAAGCTAAATCTAAACCAAAATCCTGAAAGGAAAGAACAAAAGAAAGGAAATGGAAAAAGCTAGATCTAGACAATGCAAAAGCTAGATCTAAACCGAAATCCCAAATCCAAGCACTCCCCAGGGACAATCAAAGGTGCCCCTCACCTCCACCAATGTGAGTGCATGGAATATGGAAAGGGAATACAGAAATGTGCATATCAATTAACCCAAAAACCCTAGCTTATATACAGGAGCGAGTGGTCCGGATTGAAACCAATCCGACGGCTACCAAAATCCACTACGCTAATATTAGTATACGGCATCGTAGCTGTACACTTGGCCCTCACATAACCAAATTTTTATCCTTTAGACTTTTATAATATTAATTTATTGCATATATATATATTTATTATGCAAAGTAACTTTTATCACAAATAATAAATTCATCCAAACAATAAACATTAGGACAATATAACATAGTATATGCTATCTTTAAAATGATATAACTATTTATGTTTTTAAGTTATTATAAATAAATTATATTATTGTATTGTTATAGATGCAATATAAATTTATTTGGAAAAAAAAGTTTGAAAATAATTATCAAATTTATTATTAACACAACAGTAAGTCCACGTTTATCTTTAATCCTATCTGTAAAATAATATAAATACTAGTAAAATTATATTCCGGGATTGGGCTTTTTGGGCGGGTGTGCGCTGTGTGAGAGAATCCCGCGCCAGGGTACGCAAGATCGGCGCTATTCCTTGGCCGCACATCGCAATCCGAGCTCCGGCGGGCTGCCGCGAGCTGATTCATCTCCGCGATCGCTGCCCGCCCCTTTAAATGCGGCTTCTTGCGTGCTGCTCAAGCAACGCAATTTAGATGCGCTGGGAGGCAGTGGCGTCTGCGGCGGCGCCGAGACGACGCCCGGGGGCAGCGGCGGCGGTGAGGCGGTGAGGCGGCGATGGGCGCTGGAGTTCTAGGTCTTGGTGCGCAATTGCTGGTGGGCTAGGTCATATGGCACAGACTGCTGCGGGAGGCAATGGATCGGGGGAAAGATCCGTGAAATGCTCGTACAGGAGGGTCACCATGCTGATTTGCACCGTGAATTTGATCGCGGTGCTCTATGTTCTTCACAGCTTGCTAGGTCCCCGCTACTTGAGCTCCTCGTTAGCTAGCGTTGCTCGTGGTGGTCACGGTAAGCTTGCCTCTTTCTTTCCTTCGTTTTCGTCTTCTTTTCCTCTCTCGTTCGTTCTTCCTTCTTTCCTTCTTTCGTTCTTCCTTTTTTTCTTTCTTTCGTATGAGAAAAATTCAGCTCTAGGAAAATGTGCCTGGCCAAAGGAAGAACTTGTCAAGCGGGGACGTCTCTCCTTCTTTCTCGCTTTGACAAAAAACTATTTTTTTCTTTGAACCTTACTCGATTTCATTCCAGCGACTAAGTACTCCGAGGAGGAGCTCCAGAAAATACGAGAGTCGCTGGAGGCCCGGAAAGCAGTGGAGCCTCACGAACTTATGAGACGGGTTTGTTCTTTCTTTTCTCTCTTTAGATCGCAAGAACAAAGTGAGCTAAAACAACAAATGGTGTTGCGAATCCAGGTGAAGGAGATTCAAGACGAGGCCGATTCCGATGTGTCCAGGACCAAAGAAATCGGCAATGCCCGGCAGAGAGCCGCAGACGTGCTCGCGCAGCGTCTCAAGGAGCTCAAGGAAGTGAACAACCAGATAAATCAGCAAGGTAACCTCTGATTCCTTTCGTGACTGTCAAAAAAAATCTCAAGGCTTCCCTTCCAAGCAGCGCTCGAGGAGTGGCGGAAGAAGAGGCTTGAAGGCGTCAAGAAACGCAAAGAAAAGGTGTAAAAATCACACACACAGTCACACGAGAGAAGGCATCCTTTATTATTCGTATATAAAAGGTTTTCAAATTCGATTTCCCGGGAAGGGAGGAGCCCTAGAAAAAGAGCAAAGGTTTTTTAGGGTTTGTGGAGCGCGATGGATCCAATTAGCTTGAAGCGAAGGAGGCGACGGGGAAAGAGAGGGGGTAAGCGCAGCCGAAGCATCAATTATAACCATGGGAGGTCGTTCGCACCATCGAATTCGCCCCCTGAGGGCGACGCTCATCCCTTTGCTCGATTCGGCCCACAGGTAAGAACAGCTGATTGCTCAGTCCCCCATGGCGGCAATTGGAGTGGAATGAGTGGAATCGGAGGCGGCGCGGGCGCGATGGACGAGCCCTACGTCCCTGAATTTGTCGTGGCCCCGCCTGTCGGTGCGATCGATGCTCCGCGGTTCACCTCTCCAATTCCGACTAGTTTATTGAGATTTGGCGACGCCGGTGGTGGCGGCGGAGGGGGGAAAGGGTTGCTTGCGTCGCAAAAGCAACCCCCCTTTTTCAGCCTGGATGATCTGCCCGAGTTTGTCTTCCCTACATACGCTTTCTAATCACCATAAAAAATCTAAGCCTCAAATTAAACATGGCACAAACATGACAAACCCGATGTCATTAGCTCTCGTTTGCCACGAAAGGCCAGAAATTCTGACAAAAATATGTTTACAAATGTCATTATCTCTCCAAGTCTTTGTTTGTCATAAAAGGCCAGAATTAATAATATGTATACACAGAGGACCAGCTTCTTGAACGAAACTGGATCCAACCTCAATGTCGAACTGCTTGGGGTTGTCACCAAAAAGGATTTTGCTGTCACCACTCGAGTTTGCAGCTCTTCACTACACAGGTCTTCTCCTTTCATCCCAAGTAACAAGCCAGTGCTAGAGTTTAAAGCATGATCTATATTCCATCACATGGGAACTCTCATATGATTGGAAAAACAGGATTATAGAACAAGGTTGTGGGGAATGGTTGTTCGGTACAATTATTTGAGATAACAATCTATATGCATTGTGGTGTCTTAACTTGGACGATGACAGCTTATGACAGCATATAACTGATGAATGTTATAACTGTGATAATGCTTGCACAAGACCTCCTCAATCAAACATATGCTTACCTTTTGTTTACGGTTCTAAACACCGAATTATATCTGCGGATCTTATGGGATCTAGAACAACATTTACAGATATAATTGATCAGACTCTTTCACGTTGGGGGCTCTGATGTAAGTAGCAGCGCCTGGATCTCGTCCAGCGTCTTCCCCCGCGTCTCAAATATCATCTGGCTCACGAAAACGGCCGCCACAACGCAAACCATGGCGAAGAACGCGTAGAGGGCCGCTGCGCCGTATTTGTGAAGCAGCTGTAGGAAGGTGAGGCCAACCACAAAGTTGACAATCTGTGGCATCAAAGAGAAACAAAGCTTCTTCTCAGTGACAGTCTCGGCCGAGAAAATCCCATTGCGCTTACCCAGTGGATACACATTGCTATTGACATGGCCTTGGCTCTGATACCATCCGCAAAGAGCTCGGGTAACAAGAGGCCTGGAACCGGCCCGGCTCCCAGCGCGAACATCATCACGTACCTGCATTTTTTTTCCCTCACAAGACAAGGTAGTGAGAAATAAAGAAACGTTTGCTTACGTTAGAGTCGAAAAGACGGCGAGACTGCCCTGAATTGGTGCTAGCAGCGGGAATGCAGCTGCTGACGCTTGAATCGCCATGGCTACAGCCTGCAACATCAAGAAAAAGAAGGAGATATACAGTTGGAAGGTTTTTAAACTTCTATACCATGCCAGAGAAGCTAAAGATCAAAAGCGGTCTCCTGCCTTGCCTGTCCATGAGGTACGTTGCCAGTAAAGATGCTACATAAACGGCATAAGCAGGCTCAGATCTTTCGACCACCTCGAATATGGAGAGACGTACCGAAAAGATTTGCTATTCCAACACATATGCTCGCGTAGACGTCCGAAGTGATTCCCGCCTGCCTGAAAACCGTGGACGAAAAGTAGAACACAGCGTTGATTCCTGCGAGCTGTTGGAACGCAAAAAGTGCAGCTCCAATCAGGACAACTGCAGAGTGAAGTTTTGGAAACAAGTGTTGCATAAAAAAAGAGCTGTATGCGTACCTCTAGAATACTGCCGATCGAATAAATCACACCATGAACGTCTTCGCCCGGCTTCAAGCTGCTCTTTTACCAGAAGATCGAACATCGCTTCTTTGACGTGCATGGGGCCCCAGAGTCGTTCCAGCGACATCTCGGCTTTCCCATATTGCTTCCTCTGTAGCACAGCATCATTCGGAAAAGTGGGAAAGGAAAAATAAAAAACAAAAGAGAGTCTACCTTGAAAAGCCAGCGAGGGCTCTCAGCACAAAACTGCATTGCTACCGCAAGTAAGACAGCAGGTCCTGTTGATATCCAAAAGCAAACCCTCCACCTGCAATTTCTTAACTTGACAATCGAAACACATTCAAGTGATTGAAGTTCACCAGCCGATGATGGAAGAGGAGGGAAATCCAGCTACAAGTGCTCCAAGGATCCCACAGCATCCAGCAACTTGGAGCAAGCTTCCATACGCACCCCTCACAGCCGTCGGAGAAATCTGAAAGAAAGAAAAGGATGGAACTAACTATGACAAAACTCTTGGGTATGGCTATCTTACCTCAGAAACATAGAGAGAAGCGAGTGGTCCACTGAGTCCCAATCCCACGCCCACGAGAAATCGGCCATAGAGCATCATCTTGAGAGACATAGAAGACGCACTACATTGATCGCAAGGCATGAGAAAACAAAGAGGGAATAAATAAAACCAAGAGAAACATACATACCACAAAATGGCTCCGGCGATCATAGGAACGCTGCTCAGCTGAAACGCGCGGCGCCGCCCGACGCCATCCGCGATGAGGCCACTCGCTGCGCATCCTACAAACGCGCCTCCAAGGAGCAGACTCACCAGCAGCCCTGCGCCCCGGTCTCATCACCAAGAACTCTAAATTTTTCAGAGCACAGCACCTTGGGCTATGGCGCTTCCGCCAAATCCGAGGTCCTGAGCGATGTACTGGAGTGGCACATTCACAACTCTGGAACGAAGAAAAGTTATTCGCAAGGGAAGAAAATTCAAAGAAAAGTACCCGATGTGGTAGCCAAACAGGACGGATGCGATCGTGGCCACAGCGACGTGAGGAAGCGAGAGATCCCAAGGCGGATCGGAGCGATGTGATGGAAATGTCACTGGAGGATCGCCTGCCTCTGCCACAGAAAGAAAACATCCATGAATTCGGCCAAGAACACGCAGAGAAGATCAAGAACACGGGAGCTATGCATTACAAAGAAACCTGGAGCTGATCGCTGCTGGTCCTCCCGTGCCGATGGCGTCGCCAGTAGGCGGATGTATCGAGAAGTCTCCCCGATCTTGAGCTTCACGACGGGATTAGAGATGTTCCTCTCCTCCTCCTTGGCGAGCACGAGCAGTCCACTGGTGTTCTTGAGAGAATCGACCAAACCCTGGCTGCCGCTGCTGCTCCTCGGACGATCTCCCCTTGATTCTTGGAAGGTCGTGCTGCTCCCGGGGAAATTCTCGTTGCTGCCGCCGCCGCTTCGACAGATCAGCTCCACCGATCGCGGCGCTGCTCTGGACGATGCCGATCTTGCTGTTGTCACAATCGTCGAGGAGCCGCGCGCTGGCGATCTAGATCTGGAGGCTCTTCCTCCTCCATATTCCCCTAGATGACCTATATTTCCTGTTCTCGGAGCCTGGAAGCGAACGGGGAGAGCCACGAAATCCAACCGCCTGCCCGGGCGCCTGGCTCGCACCACGGATTTACACTTGCAGCTTGACGATTTCGTGCGAGTCCAGAAGAATCCTTGCTGTGACCTGTGGCAGATCGTCGCCTCGGGCGCCTCGAGCGCCTGCGAAAGCCCTAGAGCGCCGCTCCTGGCGTGTGGAAGAATCGGGCGCCTACAAATGAGACCAGCGGATGGGTGCCCTGGGAGAGAATTGGAAGAATGCGTCGCCTTGGATCGGTCACCAGGAGATGGATCCGTAGTCATAATCGGTGCTTGGAAGCCAGCATTTCGATCGATGCTGTGAATACGAGAAGACGCTGTTCTTCCTTTTATAAGAACTAGACAGAGAAGAAGAAGCGGGAAGCTCAAAAGTCGCGGGACAAAAACAACCAATCTTCGATTATGACCTATAAAATTCCGATCCAGAATTACAGGACTAAATGGGAGCCATTTCTGCTATAGACTTTTATATAATTTTGCATATATTTAAAATATAAATAAAAATAACTATATGTGTGTGTGTGTGTTTATATTTATATATATATATATATATATATATATATTTATATATATATATATATATATATATATATATATATATATATATAGTTAATTATAGTACTATAGCATGTGGGCTGTATATTTGGGATTAAATCTGATTCATTCATTCTTTGAAACCCCAATTATTAATATACTTATTTCCATATCTTAAACACTCACAATAGTAAATAAATAGTTTTGCTCAAATCATTTTTATTTTATTTTCTTTTTCAAGTGCTTCAGTTTATATTAATTGAAGAATACAATGTAATTACTGTTGAATAATTTGATGTATTATTCTAAATATATTTCTCATATAGATGTTAAGTGAATAAAAAATAATTATTATTATAAGAAATGTTCAAATGTATATTTTATGGTAATTAATATAAATCCTAAATTTCTAAACTTTATTACAAACTCATAAAGTATCAGAAATTAATACATCATCACCATTGTAATATTTCATTCCTAGCTACTTATTCTTTCTCCTCTCACCTGAAATACTTATTCATGCTTGTATCATTACAAAGTGCCATAAAGTGTTATATAGTATATTACCTGACACTATCCAAAGAAAATGTCACATTAGCACACTAAATCAATGGGAAGTGAGCTATAATGACCCTTTATTATCAATGTTGTTACTCAATAGAGTTGAAAAAAATCAAAACTAACTTAAGATTTTGAAAAAGCAAATCACAATCAAAGCATTTGGACAAAG